TCCACAGATACGCACTGCTTTGCTGAAGCGCAGTTCAAGATACTGTAAAACAAAACAACATGATAATTGTCATCAAGGATACACACCCAAAATATGAACTCATTTAGACCCAATAAAACCACTTCATGATACCTGATAAGCGCTGGAGAGCCGCAGTCTGTACAAGACAGGAATGAAAACATGAGCAGGAATGAGGAGGCCCAGGATGTAGGCACAGCCGATGAACCAGTATTGAGTGCCGTGAGTGTAGATTTCTGCCGGTACGCCAATAATCGCCACAGCGGACTGGAATGAGGCGATGAGCGACAGCGAGACAGGAAGACAGCTCATGCTCCTGTCGGCCATCAAGAACTCCTGAGTGGTGCGCTGACGCCCACCTGAGAGAGCGTGGTACAGCCCGATGCCCATAGAGGCGGCGAGCAAGACACCAAATATGACATAGTCTACAATCGTGAAGTGCTTCTGGTTGGACGGGTCCATGGTGATTGTCTTCAAGTGTCAGTCGGAGAAGGTTCAGTTGTCCTGCAGACGCACATTCAGTCAGATGGGAGATGTCTTTGTTCACACCCATCAGTCAGGAGAGTGCAGCGGCCTTGGAGAAAGGAAGTGAAAACACTGATTAAATATGTGTGTGAGAGTGTAAGCTTTGCTGGCATGTTGCAGCCTGATGTGTAACTACACTTTTAATATGAATCACTTTGCTTGACAGGTTTAGAGATAAACTCTGAAGTCCCCTGAGCTGTTTTACAGGTTTGTGTTCTTTCCCTATCAGACAGACAAAAGGTGAACTCGCTGGCGACAGTTAAATGGAACAGTCTGAGGCAGAAAAGCACCGTAACATGAGACAACCTTAAGTCTGTGGACAGCCGAGGTCACACAGCTTCTGTGTCAACTTTCCCCCCTTGTGCTTGTGCTGATCCAAAAATACTGACTACTGGTTTGGAAATGGGAGGTTCACAGAGGAGGTCAGCTCTGCTACTCTGCCATCTACTGCCTCTGTGTGTACTGCAGCACAAAGACAAACAGCAGCAACCAATCTGTGACGGCTCTCAAGGTCAGAAGCAACAAATGGGTGTAGATTTACAATGTTTCCACTGTTACAGCCAGCTGTGACGAGATAGTAAAAATCAGTTTTTACCCAAATTATGCTGTGATTGTTCCGTGTCTTTGCCCATATGAAAATGTTTTCTTTCATAACATTATAAAATCATGAGGACACAAATAATTGGAGATTACTAAAGATCAAAAATGTAAATCAGAAACTATTTTAATAATTACATTACTTGAGTTTTGAGTCTTTTTTAAAGCAAAAAAACAAAACAAAAATATGCTGTTTCAAGCTCCTTAAAAGTGAGGATTTGCTGCCTTTTACGTCTTGTATGATAATAAACTGAATATCTTGTATTTTGGACGGTTAGTCAGACAAAACAAGCAATGTAAAGATGTCACTTACGACACAAGGAAATTGTGATAAGCTGTTTGAAGTTTTTGCTGATAATTTAAACACAGAATAATTCACAGAGAAAATAATCCTTCTTAGTTATTATTTATCGTCACATATCCCCAAACTAGGGCTGCAACTACAGATGATTAATATGAAAATCAGCTCTGAGCATAGTGTTAGTTTAGGCAGGATATGATGTCAAGCTCAGCTCACATCCCAGCTACATCAGCTCATCTCAAACAGCCCAGTCAACTGATGGAGCAGCTGACTGATTGAAGGGAGTCAGCTGATAGATCACGTGATTCCTTTCTATGCAACCAATTGGCAAACTCATTTAGAGCGCCCTATTTAAACTGCTCTGGTCTGCGTACTGTTGCTGCTTCCTCTGCAAGCTGCTTTGCAACCAGTGTTGTGTGTAACGCATTACAAAGTACAAAGTTACAGTAACGTAACTACTTTTATTGGGTAAAAAGTAGTGTAACGCGTTACTACTGAAATATGGTAACGGAACGTTGTTACTTTGTCAGTTGGGCACAACGGTACTTTTCCCGGGGACAGATTTGACGGTGACACTGCCTGTCTGCCTCAGCTGCGCACTAGGCAGGAACTGTGACAGTTGCCATGTCAACAGTACAGACAGGAGCGGTAAAAATCAAGAATCGTATGAGGAATATGGAAGATACACACGCCTCCTCGGATTATTTTAACGGTTTGTCAACCGAAGACAGGTTAGCTTATTGTAATAAGCTAACAATTAGCAACGGAGTGAGGTTTCCTGACCCGTACTTAATGTCGGGTCAGTGGGTCACCGACCCAACGAAATGGCCTAAGCTAAAGTGGCCGGACATTTTTTTATATCTTGTGGAGAAACCCGGCGTTTATATGCATGAAAATCTCAAGGCATATAAATCCCTTGATGTGTATAATTTTGTACTTTGCAGTCATGTCCAAGATATTGAATACGGTTTTTGTGCTCTACGGACCGAAGTACTGCCGAGCCAGCGACAAGGACACAAAACAGTAACGTTAACTAACGTACAAGACCTGGGCGATTCTGAACAAGTCGACCAACTATATACTGACAGCGAACTGCACTTGTATGGCTGGGTAAGTGTTGTTTAATGTAACATTAACCTTGCTAGTCAGACCTCAGACATGGGCAACATACGACCCTGGAACCTCAAAGGAAATCAAAACGACCCCCAAAACATCAATAAAATGCAGCATTGTGTTAACAGAAAACAGAACAATCATAACCCGCCTACCTTCCTGGCGCTGTGTGAACGGCAGCCTGTTGCAGCAGCTCCTATTTTGTGTATTTTAAATTGCTGCTGTGACATTGAAATTTCCCCCCGAGGGGTTAATAAAGCACCTACCATACCATACCATACCAGAAGAGAAAATGAATTAATTTATTCGTACAGGTCTGTAGCTTACTGCAAAGTATGAGTCTGTTACACAAACACAGTCTCACAGTTACACACGTAATAACAGAACAGAAAATGATTTATTCATGAATATGACACTATTTGTTCAAAGATAGTGTCTGTGAATATTAATATTTTCCTCATTCAGTGATGCAGCAGGTCTGGCAAATAGGCTATTAGTAGTAGTAATCTGTCATGTAACAAATTCATGTAGCCTAGTTAACACAAATTAACTCTCACTCTTTAATCTTTATTTTATCACCAAAGTGGTAAATACCAGTGGGGAAACTCGGATTTTTTCACATTTAGGAAATGAGATGGGGTTCTACCCAAAGTCAAGCACCATAAAAGTAACGTAAAAGTAACGAGTAACGTAAAAAGTTGCTTTTCACAGAGGGTAACTAAGTAAAGGATTACTTTTTTTAAGAAGTAACGAGTAACGAGCAAACACTACTTTTTAAAAGTAACTTCCCCAACACTGTTTGCAACCCACCTCCACCCCAGCTCTTCTTTTTCATGCTGTGTCTGACTTATCATTGTCATTTGTTTTTGTCATTGGCATTGTCATAGGCTTTCCATGTATGCACATGGAAGGGCAGAGAGGTTTGCTCTCTCCGCTTTAAGGCTTTCCAAGTAGGCGCGTGGAAAGGCGGAGAGATGTGCTCCCTCCGCTTTAAGGCTTTCCAAGTAGGCGCGTGGAAGGGTGGAGAGGTGTGCTCTCTCTGCCTCAGGCTTTCCTCATGGAAGGACAGAAAATTGTGCTCTCTCCGCCTTATGCTTTCCACGTGGGAGCATGAAACAGGCTTTCTGCGTAGGCATAGGAAAGCCAGAGAGTCCCCAGAACAGAGCCATACTGCCAAATATAATACTACAAATAGAAATAAAGATGTCTTTGACTGAAGTGGTCCTGACTGAATTATGGTCTTAATGTCAGAAAATAGTGAAAATGCCCTTTGCAATGCTCCAGAGCCCAATTTGACATCCTCAAATGTCTTGTTGTGGTCTTTCTCAGTTTACAGTGATTTAAAACAGAGAAACTCAGTTGAGAAGCTGGAGCTGGACGATAATTGGCATTTCTACTTGAAAAACAACTCAACTAATGCATTAATTGACGAATCAGTTCAGCTCAAACCCAAATACAACAGCACAATGTACAATAATGTCTAATGAATATCAATTAAAGTGTCTTTTGCTTCACTTGAAGACACTGCTGCTGTAATATTAGCTATATTAGTCATAAATAAGTAATGATGCTGATACAAATATGGGCTGCACAGGAAGATAAAACTCCTGCAACTCGTGGTGAGTGTTTATGTGTCCAGGATTCTGTGTCCCCAGCTCAACATGCTCTTAATATAACACATTAAGGAGAGTTTTTAAATGGTTTTATGTTCTCTGTAATGTTTTTCTTACAGTCAAATTAATTTATGTTTCCTTGGATCAATATGTTAAAATCGTCCACCTACAGCTTATAGTCTACTGATGTTATACTCACTGAAACCACTACCAGACACTTTTCTTGACTTTAGACAGTGATATCTCCACGATTGATTGATTTTTACCACTCAAGTTGCATTTGAAACCTTCATCTCCCTTCATTCTTTTGCATTTTAAACTGTGAAAATACCCCTTACCAATCTCTCACAATGTTAGTTTATATCAAGAGATACAGCACTCCGGAACACAGGGTTGACCCCCACCTAGTAACGCTTAAATCTGTGACAACAGCTGCTGAACTGCACTGAATATATGGAAATACAAACTGATAAAATAAAATCAAGGTAATATCACGTCTAGAAACGTAGTACACTTACAGAGGTATGGAAAACTGAGATGACATGACTCACCTCTGCACAGCTCACTGTTGTAATCCGGGTGAGGCGCACTGTCAGTGGCACCATGCTGCTTACTGAGACATTCAAGAGCACTACGTCAGTTTAAAAATAACTTCTTTACGGTTAAAACCAAGAACCACACACAATATGATGTGCTCATTCTCTATACAATATAATCTCTTGAGTTTGTATCTCTTGTGTTTTGATCAAAAAGCATTTATATCACATACCAGCTGCCTAATCTCTCGGTCCATGCTCCATGTGATCACAACTTGTTTTGAATTCTCTTCCGGGGTTGAGGAAGCGGTGGGCGTGGCTACAATTGTGACGCAGCAGCCGCGAAAATCAAAATACCCGCAACTTGTGGCGACTATTCTTGTCTGCGTAAGCCACATTATTTAACACAAAGTACATAAAATACTTGCGGAACATGGAGGGAGCGTCTACGAAAGGTAACTCGGACTGACGGGAAGCTATCTGCTAAGATAGCTAGGAGTAGTTTGTTGTGATGCTCCGTTAGCTTAATGCTAGCTGTTAGCAAGCCGACAGTTTAGGTACCCAACTGTCATTTTTGTCGTTTTAGAGTTAATCTAATGTTAGTGTTTCTTCCTCCGCAGGTGTTTTAAGTCACCTGAGTCTGCTGGAAGTTCAGGCAAGAAGCCGTAAAACTCAGCAGCCGAGTCGTGTGAAGGAGCTGAGGGCTAAAGCTGAGGCGCTGATGGTGCAGAGAGACCAGCTGAAGGCGGAGATAGAGACACACAAGGTGGGATGATGTGCTGAGTTCACACCGTTTATTTGTTGATAGGAAATTTGTTTTGACGAGATATGATGAAAACTGGTCTTTATTTGGATAGACATGCACTTAGTTGTCAGTTTATTAGGTACACCTACATGGAACAGATGTATGATGCATTCAGGTGCCCCTCGTATGGTACAGTATGCCAAGTTGGAAAGTCGTTTTTCTGACTCTGGTGTGTTCATGAGCTTAAAGCTGTAATTTGGAAACATCATGTTTGCTACAAATATGTGTTGTATTATTGCTCAGAGCATTTAAAACAAAATGTTGATAACAGTTTGAAGCTTTACGTCACAGTGATTACTGTGAAGTTATTTTGTCCCAGACTTGTTGCTGCACCAGTGCATCCTCTAAAACAGGGGTGGGCAACCTGCAGCTCTCTAGACCAGGGGTGTCAAACATACGGCCTGGGGGCCAGAGGCGGCCCGCCAAAGGGTCTGATCTGGCCCACTGGATGACTCTGCGCACCTAATTTAAATGTTCTTGTGACGGCTAAGAGGAGTCAGGTTTCAGGGTAAAGTTAAACAGTGAGGAGCCCCCTTCATGTAAAATGCAGCTTTAAAGGGCTTCTCCACCCCGACCATTATACAGTTCTCCAGAAAAGGATTAGAACTTGTTGTGGTCACATTTAAAGATAGTGAACACTGTGCAAATTGTTGTCAAGCAGCAGCTTCAGTAGCTTCCACTTTAGTTTGGTGTGTCAATGCCAGCATATCTACTCAGGGGTGGTAAGATTAGACTACATTTAGACACGCCAAGATTAGATTGAACTACATTCATATGCAAGTTCATATAAAAAGACAAAATTCAATAAACTGCACCCACAAACAAGCTGGAGAGCCAGTGGCCCCACAGTCTCTATGAAAACCTGACAGAGCTCAGCTCAGGATTGGCCAAAGCCTGGATGTTACCATTCTCTGAGACAGAGAGCCTGCACATATATTGATGTATAAGATTACGTATGAAAGCAGGACAAGTAGGCACACCGACATTTACAAACATTTGGCTGGCACTGCACCATCGTGGAAGTTTAAGAAGCAGTCTCATTCCATCATTATAGGCCACATGAAGTCTTTGCATGTTGGTCTTCCTATCGGAGTGCCACAAGTGGGCAGTATACAGCGGGGTACAAAAAGACCTCTCTTTAACTTCACACAGGCTGAATTTGCGAGCAAGCATGTTAGCTTGAGCATACAACTTGCGACATTGCTTGTGGATATCTTTATCATCAGATAAATCACTGACAATGAAATGGCTGTGATATTTAATCTCATTACACACTTTAAAAGCAACACCATATAAGCAGAATTCAGGAATTTTCTGTCATCTTTACTTCTATCAATCATAATGTTGTTATTTGCATCATATTTGATGTCAAAATCAGCACCAGAGTTAGCGCAAATCTTCAACAGCACTATAAGGGCAGAAGATTACCAAATCATCTGCATACACGAGATGATTTATTAAAATATTGCCATCCTTACATCCTGTATTACATGCATTCAGCTGTTGGAACAAGTCATCCATGTATACATTAAAAAGAAAAGAAGACAAAATGCCGCCCTGTCATACTCGTTACTAACATGAAATGGTTCCAACCCCCATCTAACCTGCATATACTGATGAGTGTAACAGTCGACAAGAATTCTTATTATCCATTTAATACTTAAACTTTTACTTAAGTAAGGTTTTCAGTGCAGGATGTTTACTTGTAGTAGAGTCTTCTTACAGTGTCATTAGAGTTAAAGCAGTTTACAAAACAAACTGTATACTGTCCTTTGTACGAAAATTGACGGGAATCGTACAGTATTCATTTCCTTATCTAAGGTATTTAAAAAACCTTGCAGCTGGATGGAGAATCTTACCTACATATACTCAAGCCCCTCTTTCTTCTCCACTATCTGTCAGACATTTTACAGATACGTCCATTCAATAAATGGTTTCAGTGTTCAATTATATTTTTATTATTATTCAGTTATTTTTATCATTTTTTTTTAAGAACAAACAAGAAACATGGATTATATACACAACATCCAACATCCAAACCCACCCTGCCCCTTGTCAAGGCTGGCCTGCACAGACAAACAAATGAACACCACTAAATACACTTAATGAATAGACATAATTTAGTCAAGATAGACCAATGATAATAATCGGGTATTGTAAGTGAATTAACAGCAACAGAGTGGAGTGAAATGAAGAAATAGGCACACATAGGCATTAAATCAGATTTCTTGAAGTATAGACATTATTGTAATAGTCCAGGAATCAATGCCGAATTGATTGACTGATCCTTGAGTGGTACATCTGAGCTTTTCCAACTTCAACTGAGCCATGACATCAGAGAGGGGTAGGTTAGACTTTCAAGTGTGCAGAATGAGACATCTCGCTAACAATGATGAAAAGGCCAAAGCACTGGTGAGACCCAGATCTCTTCGGGCCACACTGAATATTGCCAGCTGTGGCTTTGGGTCTGTGGTTTTATTACACATGCATGAAAATGTCTCAAAAATCTCTCATCATGTCTCATCCTTGGGCATGTCCAAAATGAGTGGAAAAGAGATGCTGGGTGCCGATTACACAGGTGACAGGTTGGATCAAATTCAGGAAACACGTTCAATTATAATAAAGCATCCGTTGAACTAAAAAAAAACATTATGTTTTCATTTCTTTAAGGACCATTTTGATTTATAATATTAACAGTGTTATACCGTATACTGTGAGGCTGTGAGATTTTCTGAGATGGTTATAGTACTGTGAACATCTGATACTGTTCCAACCCAAAGTGTGGTAATAGGACTTTAACTCTTGTAAAGAATCTGAATACTTCTTCCACCACTGAACGATTTTGACCAACCTACAAAAAACAGTCTTCTGTGTTTTCTCATTGGTGTTTGTTTCACCATCCTGCAACAGAATCTCCAGAAACTGAGGGCAGTGATGGACAAACAGTGTGCAAATGAAGAAGAAGAAGCAATGGATGAAGACTCTGAGAATTCACAACTGCTGCGTCTGATGGCCAGACACACACAGCTGAAAGACCTCCTGCATGCTCATCACATCATCGGTACACACAAGTTGTTGTATTACTTTGTCTTCTTATGGCATTCACCCATTTATTATAGATTTGACAATGAGATGTCATATTCTCCATCCAATTATAAACTTGTATTCCTCATTAGTATATCTAAGTCCTCTGATGTCACTCAGGTGGGTACAACGTCATCAAGACCCGTCAAGGCAAAGGTCTGTGCGTGTCTGTGTCTACGGACTACGAGGGTGTCTACTTAGAGACCTACAACCTGGAGATGGACCTGAAACCAACGCTGAGGATCAGCCGTCACAACATTCCCCCATTCATTCCCTTAAGCAGCCTGGCTGAGCAGAGCAACATGCAGACGGATGTTCGGACTCTTCTGGACCCCCTCAGCCAACATCTCAACGCCTTTGCTGGTCGCAAGCAGCAGCTGAAGCTTGTTAAGGTGCCAGAGTTTTCATTGTTGTTGTGTGTTGTTGTCAGTAGTTGTGGTTGTTGTGACCTTGAGTGTCAGACAGTTAGACTGAGGCACTCTGATTTGTTTGTTAAAAAGTTGTAACAAAGATAATGCTATTATATCCGTATTATGATGTAATTTTCTAAATTTACCAGATAATATCGTTGCAATATTGACATCGAAGTATTAGGTCATAAATATTGTGATACCGGTATTTGCTTTCCTCGGTATTGCCCAGCCCCGTCTCCTGGAGCAACACAGTGACTCTGTCCTCCTGCCTGTTTATAGGAACTCCATAAATCTGTGGAGGTGATGGAGAGTAATGTTCTGTGTTCGTTACTGGTGCTGATGGTAACGGTGCCAAGAGAGAAGACGGCTGTTCTCTGCGCGCTGGAGTACGCTGACCACACCAGATGTCTTCCCACACGAGTCCACTTTGAATGTGCAGGTAGGATTTGACTGTCTATCTGGTGTACAAGAACTTTGTAATAATTGTTACCTGATATTTTAATAGATGAAACAACCATCAGGGTGTCTACAGGTCCTTAAAGGTTGTAAAATGTCTTAAATTTAATTATCAGATTTTAAAAGTCATTAAAAAGTCTTAATTTGAATTTGCGAGGTCTTAATTGCCACAAACATTTGCTCCAATTTCCTTTGTCGATCTTTAGTTTTCTTTTTGTCAGAATGAGTTCAGCTCTTCTGTGTTAAAATCCACATCTGATGTTACAAATCTTTAAACCCACCACTGAACCTGAAACTATCTTTTTACTTCAGCCCAGTTCAGACCAAAGGGTCTTGACGAGACTATTTGCAACACGCCGTTCTGCAACGTTCTAAAAACCTGCCAGTTCACACCAATGCAACTAGATGAGACGGTGTATCATCTCTATGCAACAACTCTCTGTGCTTCTGTTCTGATTTGCAACTTTTCAGGATTATTTTGTGGCTGAATATAATTTGTAGCTTCTTAAAATATGAATGAGGATAGTGATAGTGAGATACTGGCTACAGCTGCAGAAAAACAGAAACAAAATGAGCATCAGATGGACTGAATTCATAGAAATACGCCACAATGATATAAAATTGATTAATCAATCGATGATAATGTGTGTGTGTATAGTGTGTACATACAGCGAGCAGCAGCAGCGACCCACCGTCCAACACCAGCACATTGTGAGGATGTAAACAGAGGGCTCGGCGGGGACGGAGCACCTGCTGCAGCAAGCGAACACGCTGTCTTTTGTTCATTTTGACTTGACCAGCAGACGTCACTACAAGACAGATGAAGTGCTTTATGTTCTAAAACCAGTCGTCCACGATTTGACCGGCTGAGTTGCAGGTGATACCATCAGCCGGCTTGAGTCAAGCTCAGACCGACCAGTTCACACCGCTGCAACTTTTCTCTGCAACGTTCTAAAAACAGTTTTGCCTCATAGCAAATCTTTGGTCTGAACTGGGCATCAGACATTGGCAAAATGTAGATTAACCTAACTCACTCACTGTAATAAAGATTTTCCTGCATAAAAGTTACCTATGCACGCAGCCGAATGTATACTTGATACTAACCTGCAATGCTTGAATAAGAAAAAGATGTTTTTTCCACAAATCAGTCTTAAATTTTGTTTAATAAGTATCTTGAAAAAGTCTTAAAAAGCATTTAAATTAAGTGTTTGATACGTGTAGACACCTGGATTAATGTATGATTGATTGATTTTTTATCTGTGTCATGCACACTTACATGTGCCCAGCCCGTTACAATGATGTTGCACTAACAATCCAAAGTACATGCTATTTAGCTACTCAGTCCAGAAACAGAATACTCTGCCTCCCAGGCCTGGCAAAGAAATTCAGCAACACAAAGGTTCCTCATCTGAAACAAAACTCAAATTTTTCATGATTGTCCAATGAAAAAAGAAATCAACATAGATAGAGGTAATCTAACTGAAAAGAATATTCCAGTTATGTCTTCATGTGCAGGACAGTAAAACAAAAAGTGAACCCCAGTCTCAACTTCACCTAAATTACACAACAAATCAATTCTGTCCTCCTCTGGGGTGGTGTTAAACTGTCCAGTCTCTAAGGCTAATGGTGACATCCCTGAGTGCAACTGTGCACATAGGGATCTTTGTCTTTCAGTTATACTTTATGTAAGGTTCCACTCTGTAGCTGTTCTTTATGAGACAGTAAGTTTTGGTTTATACATATGTCAACAGACCATATTTCTCTAAAGATGCGAAACATTTCAATCCTAATCTCCTGAATATCACAGGTTAAATTATTCTGGAAAATAAATGACAAACTGTTCAAATAAAATAATGATTTCAGCTCATTAGCCCAGGGATGACAGTGGGAGATGTCCCGATTAAAAATCTTTTTAGTGAGTCTGTGATCCGACGTCTTCACAAGTCTATTCCAAAGCTGAAGCATTTGACATTTATGCCTGACATTAGGAGGTTCCCATCCCACATCTCCTCTAATGACCAAACTGAAGTAAATTAATGGACACCCAGGAAAGATCGAACCACTCTACAATGCACTGTGTTACAACTTGTATGTTCTTGGAAACACAAACACAAGAGGCATATGTATTTCAATATATCAAAAATGTATGCAATAATGAAAGCAATCACCCAGGCTCCACCGTACATCTTACATCAGTGCTTAAGAGGGTAACAGGATAAATTAACATCTAGTTTGTTCAAAAGTTCACAATAATAAAATATAAAATGGATGTGTCAGGCCAGACAAAGGTTATGCTATGACGTACAACATCAGAGCGCATCGGTGTCTGTACAGCAAATATCAAACATACTAAATACTAGTCCATACCCATTGAGTGCACAGTTACCCATGTACAGTTTCACATGGTGTGTGTATGGGATACAGGTAGGAAATATCAGATTAAATAGTCAACTGAACCCATGAAGAAGAGCAATGTATTCAGAGAGAGTTTTTGTGAATTTGATAGTACGATTGCTTTATTGAAAGTACAGTAGTACCATTGATAATAGTGGGATAGTTAATGGGCTAAAACTGTACATTAGTAGTTGATGGAGCACGTTGAAAGGCAGATAGTTAAAGTGTTTATATTTTGTATTGACTTAAAAGTGGGGCGCACTGGTAGAATGACTGAACACTGACAGTTTCGTGATTATGTACAGCATACCATGCCATGACTTAGTCAAACCAAAAATTAAAAAAAAAAAACAAAAACAAAACATTGGTCCAAGCGATCGGTTGCATTTTAACCATTTTTAAGCATTTTTCTGTTGTTATAGCGCCACCCAGTTGCCAATTAGAGTTAAATTTCTCCAGTCACCTTGAGGCGCCCTGTTCTACATATCTACCAATTTTAGTAAAAATCGATACGGCGGTTAGGCCTAGATAAGAAATTAGCTCCCTAGCGCCCCCATTTTGTTTGATGGGGTCAATAATGGAGGGGTCCCCTCAGATTAAGTGTGGTCATATGCCTACAAAGTTGCGTGGTGATCGGTGAAACCCTTGAGATGTTATACACCTTTATGTGATGAGCCACGCCCTCCGCAATATTCATTGCCTTATAGAAGCTCAGTTTTAGTAAGTTTTCCAACTTTTGCCAAGAGGGAACTTTAGATATTGGTCCCTAACTTCCTAGGAAGAGATCGATTTAAAGTGTTTTTCAAACAATTCAAAATGGCGGAAAATCTATATAAGCGGAAGTTATGGGTTCTTGAGGCAAATTTGTTCCTCATGAGGAGAGGCATCTCTATGCAAAGTTTCATGTCTCTACAACATACAGGGCATGAGATATGCCCATTCAAAGTTTGCAATTTCAAAAGGTTGCTATAGCGCCCCCCTTTGGCCAATTGATGTAATATTGCTTCATTCGCATCCTCCCATGACCCTCTACCACTGTGCCAAATTTCACATGGATTGACCAAGTCAGTGAGGAGAAAAACGTGGAACAGACACACAGACACACCAACACACAGACAGAGTTTTCGTCATTGTATAGTAAGATGGTAACGCAGGTGTTATGAACCAACCTTCCCTTTTTAATATTTCCTTTTCAGACAAGGAGCTTCCCGATTCCCCCGAGTGGAAGAAAAACCACAGCCTGCTGTTGGAGACCCCTGTGCACAAAGCTTTGACAACCATGAGAAAGATGGGGAACATTGTGTAACTTATTCATAAATATAATTAAACTGTTCTACATTTTAATGATAAAAACATGCACATTCTCATTGTTTATAATGAAACACTGCTAGTTAAACTTTCCTTGATGTTGTAAATGTTGAGGTATGAAACTGTTGGTAGATTCCAAACTTTCAGGTTCCTCTACGGAGGTTTCACTTGTATTTCCATGTTTCTTTTGTCCTTGAGCTTTTCTATAAACGCCGCCACCCTCTTCTGTAAAGTCTCCATCTGAAACTGTCTCAGCCGCTCCATTTCCTCTCGGGCTTCCTGTCGCTGCCTGGCCAGCTCCTTCTCTGAAATCGAGTCTATGGCTGCGATGTTCTTCATCTGCATGAGCGACAGGCTGCTCTGGATGTTTCCTCTGTGTCTCACTGAACCTGTGGGTGTGAGTGACGGCGGTGGAGCCGATATTGACCGACTCTGCTCCACCAGTTCACCTCCTTTGCTGTGATACTGGGATTTGCTGGAGAACAGTCTCGTGCCATCGGATGTTTCACATGTGCGTTCTTCAATTTCACTCATAGCGATGTTGACTGTAGCTTTAGGCTCGACCACCTTCACCATCAGAACTCGCCTCTGTTCGTTCATCATTGAGTCTCGTCTTTGCTGAAGCATTTTGCGAGTGTACTTGAACTGTCTGTCCAGCATGTTGAGTTTATGCTGGAGGTCCCTGTCCTCCTTCTGGTTCAGCACTCTCAGATCCCTCTGCAGCAGAGCAGCTCCCCTCAAACTTTTATCCATCATACACCAGAAAGCTGGAGGGAGAAATACGTGTTTTTAAACCAACCTCTTTCACTGAGTCAGTCACTTCTTCTGTTTAAATTAAAGCAGATGATGTCGTCTTCTTACCTGATTGCTGTCCCCCGGAGCGCTCTGCTGTACAGGTGTGTTTGCTGCTATGACCGTCTCAGCGTGCGTAACATAATAGCCTATTATGTCTGAAGTAAAGTGGATGGGATTGTTGGTCATTGTGAACTGTCACATTCCTTAAACAGATTAAATTACAACATGTCGTGCAGTCACAAGGCTTCTTGCAGCTTACACAATAAATAACAATGACTCACTTTGTGAAAGGTACTCAGAGATCATGTTTCTTCTCATTTTATGCAGCTGTAGCACTTTCTTTTTTTCCAATATTGATTTTAACACCAATAAACAAAGACATACACACATCCAGTATGTGTTTATGTAACAATGCCCCAATGGCAGTGGCTCCCCAGCAGAAAAAAGCAGCACAGCACACTATACAAAAACGGTTTAGAAATGGCGTGTGGAGCGTGACAAAAAGCTCAAGGTGTCGACCTGGTCCCAAGGGTTAGGGTTAGTTAGTACTGTTGCCATGAGAGGGGTACTTGGTCTGCAATGGTGTTTGAGTGGGTGGAACATGTCAGGTGGTGTCACATGAACGCCAGAACCAAAGGTTTCCCAACAGAACAATGTTTGTTATTCACTTCACCTGTCAGTGGTTTTAATGTTTTGGCTGATACATACATCCACAAACAGGCAAAAGGACACAAGAACAAAATCTCACTACATCTGCAGAGTATTTAAAACCACAAAGATCCACCCCCACCCCAAAAGTACGAATTTAAAGATAAATAAATAGATAAAGAACTTTCTCACAGGATTTTCACTGTTTGTGGTCCTAGTTGAAAGTGCTGGAATATTTTAATCATAATACATTTTTAAGATTTTACCAATACTGAGGTCATGAAAATTTAATTTGGACACAAAATCTACCAAATTTACAATATTTTTTCTTGTTATTTTTTAATAATGTAACTTGTATCTCCCTACATGATGGTCTACACATGATGTTTATTCTCTGCTGAAGCGATTAATTAGATCGATTAGTTGTTCAAACAGACAAATTAATCTGCAACGATTTTGAAGACTGAATAATAACTGAAAAAAAGTCTCTGGTTCCAGTTTCTCAGTTGTTAATATTTTCTGGTTTTCTTTGTTTCCTGTGATATTAAACTGATCTCTTTGAGTTAGAGACTGCTGGTTGGACAAAACAAGACACTTGAAGATGTTGATGGGAGCTCTGGGAGGTCATACTGGGCATTTTGCTGTCAGGGTCCCCAAACTCTTAATGTAGATATTAGATCATCAAGATCTCTATCCTACAGAATCAAGGAAAGGCAGCTTTATTTGTAATATCAGAATCAGAATCAGAATCAGAAATACTTTATTGATCCCCGAGGGGAAATTATTTATGTTACAGGTGCTCCTTGCAAGACAGGAAAGATACATGAAAATATAAGAAATTTAAACAATAGTATTAACAAATATATAGTTAAATAAACAGGAATTATTAACAAACATAAACGTAAATTATATATATATACATACATATATATATAT